ATATATATATATATACACACACACATACATACACACATACATATATATACATATGTATACATATATGTACAGATAGAGTATTTTTCAGAGGACAGCTAAATTTGATTCTTGGGTTTTAGTGTTGTGGAGTTGAAGGTCGATCTGTACCGTTTTTCTCTCAAAAGTGGCCAGTGGCACCACTAGCACCACTAACACCACTAACACCACTAACCTCAGTTTAATCACCATGAGTTGGATCTTTATCATAGTTTTCACAGAGATGGACTAACCTCCAGTTTGGTCTGTGTGTCCTTCTCCTGGAGAACAAACATATGTCCATCTCTGGTCAGAACATAGAATGAGCCCCACTCTGCCACCACGTCGATCACGTCATCAAAAGTGGCGCTGTAGGCGATGAACTTGTTGTCCAGGTCGTAGACGGTTAACAGCTGTTTCTCTGATCGGGAGCTTTCTCCACTGTCAAACCCTGTTCTGGATTCAGAACAAACACTGGCCATATGAGTCTGAGAAGAGCTTTGCTCCTTCTTAAAAACTGGTACTCATTAGTGGATCACAAAGATCTAAGCATTAGTCCTGACCCAACATTGAGACAGTGCAACAAAGGTCCAACAGTGTTAGAAGAGACGTGCACCACCACTGCCTTCAGGCCAGAGTCTTACACTAACATCACTTCTGCTGTGAAACCCCTTGTAGCCTTTTGGTTCAACCTTCAAAGTAACACGACGCTAATTTAAAATAAAATCACTGTCAAAATATTTGAAAGCACTGTCAAATAAAAACATTTAGAAAATATTAAACGTATCAAAATGTTCAGATTGTATAAAAAGTAAACATGAGGACTGATGAAGTCGTCGAACACGTGTATTGATCAGTGCTCGTTGATAAAAGTGTCTCTGGTCTGTTCGTGTCTCAGCTCTAAACCTCTGCCAGAGGACAGCAGCTGGAGACATGTCCTGAGTGTCCTGCAGAGACAGCACGCTCTGGACAAGTTCTCCACGGAGGGTGAGTAACAGTCTTAGCTTAGTATCTGGTCATTTCACGGTTGCAGCCATGCTGCTGTTGGCTAAGGTCAACTGGCCGTGGTAGCCATCTTGAAGTGAACCGACTCCCAGTATGTTTCAGTTTGAGGTCTACAGCCAGTGACTGGTTTTAATCCTGACGCTGCAGGTCAAGCTGTGTCAGGAAACATCAGACAGAAATTATTGGTAAATCTTTCATGAGTTTGATCACAGAGCTAACTCCGGCAGGAGGAGGAGTCAAAAAGAAAAAACAACCACAACAACCCACTGACTACATCTGAAATAGTGACAGATTCACCCAGTGGCTCAGGAGACATTTTTCCAGTGGTACGGACAAACGTCACCTTTTCATCTTCACTGTCGACGTCAAGTGATAAAAAATGGACTAAAAGCCTTTTTAAAATCTGAGCTCTGAGTTGTTTAATACGGCAGAAATGTTTTGGGATGTGTGCTCTGCTCCCTCATGAGGACTTGTGTATTTAGAAGTAGTGTATTTAGAAGTAGTGTGTTTAGAAGTATTGTATTTAGAAGTAGTGTGTTTAGAAGTAGTGTATTTAGAAGTAGTGTATTTAGAAGTAGCGTATTTAGAAGTAGTGTATTTAGAAGTAGTG